CATTTTGAACTTTTTTGGAATTGGAAGTGGAGCAGCACTTGGCTTCCAGGCTTGTTGCGAATATCTATCCATATCTACCCCTTTGATTATGGGTGGCACCCCTGGTATCTGCTCTATGCGCTCACTTTGCTCCTTGAGCTGTTTCTGCAAGGTTAGTACTAAATTTTGTAAATCGAAATTAAATTCATTACCTGGTTCTCTGTCCTGAGATTCGCTGGGAGTTCGTGCACTGCCTGAGTTAACAAGCCCAGAACGAGGGTTTTCCAAAGTGTTGTTATTTGGAGTAGGTGTAGGTGTTGCAACAGGTAACTGATTAACAAGTGCCTCAACAGCTTTATTGACCTGAGTAGCAATTAATTTCTGCAAAGCCTCATCAACAGCTTCAGCATTTTCAAATTGACCATGCTCGTTTATTTGAGACCCATCAGGAGTAACCTCACGAGATTGTCGTGGTGAGCCGTGTGGAGTAGAAACTCGAGCGTTAATATGCTGTGGATCTTCCTGATTTTGTTGATTTATTTGGTTTCCTTGAGTGTTATCATTGTTGTTCGACATAGTTGATGCAACAAGGAAAGTTAAGCGAAAAATAGATTATCAGATCCTCGGTAACGGAACCAATTTGTTTAACCAAAAAATGAGATTTTAGTCAAAGCTAGAATTTAGAAGAACTCGGGTTACTGATAATCAAGAAAATTAATGAAAAGAAGTAATTCTGGATAGCAAGATGATAATCAAGAGAAACAAATAAATCAATGTCTATTCCAATAGTATTTTTTTTGTCCTTACAATTGATCATACATCTCCTATATAGATACCTTTGGAAATATACGTTTTCCTTATAATGAGGCTATTATGAGTAATTAAAGACATTGAATGTTACGTTACACAATTATTACATTTAAAACATATTCTCTAACGTATTCAGCATTTAATACCCATAAAATGCCATATCCGTACTCTTTTCCATCGTCAGATTCATTCCTTCTAATTTTCGAATATAAATGACTTAAATAGGTATGGGCGCTGAGTTATTTGTCTGATTGCCCGTGCCTCTTCCTCTTTCTTTGCTCCCTCCTGTTGCATCTCATGACTCTTGGCTAATTACAATTCTTTGACCATTTGACCAATCCACATGTCTTGACACGTCACCTTTATATATAAATATAATTTTTTTCAATACACATTCGTCTCGGCAGCTTTGTGCTTAATATTTGAGACTGGATTTGGTTTGGTAATAGTTGATTTAGCGCCTTTAAGGCCGGTTATGACATGTTTAGGAATTTGATATAGACTCATGTGTGGAATTACTGTAATTACTTTTACTTGCTTCGATGCTACTTGTTGTACACCCACCATGTCTACTTTATGTATTTCTATTCCTGTTTGACCTCTAGTAAGTGTCAAGTGGATCCCTCGTCACTACTTCTTCGAGGTTAGATTAGATACTTACTAGGTACGCGTTGTCTTCCGTACTCACGTTACACTTCTGCATTGAATGTGTAGGTACCGAGATAGGTACTACCAGTGGTCACACGGGTGCGTAGCTGCACTCCTACGGAGACTTAGTGGTGAGCTGCCTATCTTGTTACCATCTGCAGAATCAGAGTCTCCCTCAACCTTGTTTATTATTTCTGTCTATTACCTTTTAGATAGTAGTTGTATTAGTTTTGTATATTCTCTAGAACTATAATGCACTTGTGGCACCGGATTTTTGGGCTTTTAGCATTTATGTACTGTGGTACTTGTCATTACTGTCACTATAGTGGATGTATTTCTCACGTTGGTATTTTGTTGAGAAAAGAGTATATACGGTTGCATGAGATCTTACTTATTTCGTTCTTTTAAAAAGGAAACTTTTGTTTTAAATAATAAAAAGGGGTAATTAAATTGTGATGACTGTTTGGTTGTTGCATGAGGTTTCTGCCGTGCGGTTTTTATGTTACACGAGGTTTCTGTCGTGCTGTGGTTATTGTTGCACGAGGTTTCTGCCGTGTAGTTGTTATTGTTTGCACGAAGTTTATGTCGTGCCGTTGTGATTACTGAGACGCGTGCGCTGGTATAAGGTCTGGGTGTTGAAACGCATGCGATGAGATAAGGTGGGCTTGAAACGCGTGGCTAGTAGGGGAACTATTAGAAGTCATGCAGTGTGATAAGGTGAGCTAAAACACGAGCTACCATTCCGGGAAAATAATTTTCAAAACTAAATATAAAGGCTCCCGCGGTGATATAAGGAAGGACTGTGGGATATTTTACTTTTTGGACAAAGAGGCAGTACCTCGTGGGTGCCCTGTTGTTCTTTTCTATTTGCTTTATTTGTTTGTTGTTGTTTTTCTTAATCTGTAAGATTCTTGTTTCTTTCAGTGTTGTATTCACTCTCTTTAATTTTTGTGCTGTTACTTTCCGTAAATTCTTATTGTTTCACTTCCCTGCCATTTTAGTATATCATTATATCTCCTGCCTTATTTCTTATTAATTCCAGTAGGGCCTTGACCTGACCTCGTCACTACTCTACCGAGGTTAGGCTTGGCACTTACTGCGTACCATTGTGGTGTACTCATACTACATTTCTGCACATGTTTTGTGCAGATCCAGGTACATCTTATCAGCCTCGGTGTAAGTGTGTGGAGTGACTTGCTCATCGGAGACTTCAAGGTACACCTGCCCCCGTCCGAAGGCCTCGGAGTCCCCTTCTATCCCGTCTTTTTCTTGTTTCTTTATGTTCTGGATAGAGAGTGATGTATAGATTATTCAACTTTGTATCTTGAGCTTGTGACTTATATCTACTGGGTTGTGGGAGTTGTAAATACTTTGAGCTGCAGTTTTTACTTTATACAGTTGTTGATGTTGATTATTATTTAAATTATTCCGCATGATTGTTAGGCTTACCTAGTCTTAGAGGCTAGGTGCCATCACGATATCCTACGGAGAGAAATTTGGATTGTGACAAAAATTCAACCTAGTCCTGCACCCTTTAATCCGATAAAACTCATAAATTCCAACAACCCATTCGAATAAGAGTCCAACAATGCTAATTTCAACAAATTCCGACTCCGAATCGATGTTCAAAATCCAATTATTCACTTAAACAAAGTTTTGATAAAAACTCCCAAACTCTTTTAGATTCAACAAATTAAATGCCAAAATCGACGATGAAATCATGTAGAACAATCAAAATCGAGTAAAAAATATTTACCCTAATTCATGTGGTGAAAATCCTCTCCAAAATTGTCTAAATCGGAACTCCCCAACTCAAAATGTGATAAAATAATCAAAACCTTCGAAATAGAGTACTTATAGATCTGCTCCAGGTAGATCCTCCGTGAATGCAGTATGAGCCTTGCGTTCGCGAAGTACAACGCTGCCTCAGCCCAAAAACCTTCAACGCGAACGTGACTCAGCATACGCGAACGCGATGAACAGCTCGCCCACAGACCGCGAGCGCAAAGACCACATGTGAACGCAAAGAACAAAGCTCCAGTCCCTAAATTCACTACGCGAATGCGACACATGCCATGAGAACGTGAAGATCCACCATGAATGCGGATAGACCCTCACGGACGCGATGCACAACACCATCAATCCTCACTTACTCTACGCGAATGCCATACCACCATCGCGAACGTGATACTTACCTGACACCAGCAAAACTAACAATCCAAACATGAGGAAAAGTGTCTGAAATTAATTTGAAACTCATCCGAGCCCCTCGAGACCCTGTTCGAACATACCGATAAGTCCCAAACATAACAAGAATCTACTCGGGGTCTCTAATTAGACAAAATAACATCAAAACCACGAATCACACCCTAAATCAAACTTAATGAACTATTGAACTCGGGCCGAACAATATCAAATCAACTCGAAATTGTAAATTTTGCACACAAGTTCCAAATGACATAACCAACATATTTCAACTTCCGGAACAACAATTCGAACCCAATAACATCGAAGTCAACTCCTGGTCAAATCTATGAACTTTTCAAACCTTCAAATTGTCAACTTTCTCCAATTAGAGCCAAACTTTTTAGGAACATCCAAATGCAAATTCGAGCTTACGTTCAAGTTCAAAATCACCACCCGCACCTACCGGAACCATCAAAATACTGATCGAGGTCAAATACCCAAAAGTCAAACTTGGTCAACTCTTTCAACTTCAAGTTTCTAAAATAAGAATCATTCTTCCAAATCAATCCCGAACCACTCGAAAACCACAGACAACAATACACGCAAGTCATAATACACCATATGAAGCTACTCATGATCCCAAACTACCAAACTGAATGAAAATGCTCAGAACGATCGATCAAGTCGTTTCATACAATTACGAATTTTTAGTGAGATAATTCGTAATTTATTATGGTCGGATTAATTCAAATATTTTGAATCAATTCTAATAGGAGGCCTCATTAATTAGATTTTGCTGTTCTTGAATAATTAAAAATTAAATGAAATCCAATTTCTTGATGGAAAAGGAGGACCTAGCATGTCAGGAAGAGGGTTTTAAACAGTAAAACCTGAGCCTATATAAAGGGTCTTATTCCATGAAGGAGGCTATGTTTTACTACATGCTTTCTCTCGGAAGAAATTCGACCACACGAATTTTGCAGATTTCTAGTATTATTCGGGTAACACAATATAAGATCATGGAACTGGAGGACCTCATGGAATGTCTTTGTTCGGATACTCTTTTTGCGATTGCGGTCACGCTTCAAGTGATAAGTACCAATTTTACGTTTAATTAAAATCTACTACACATTACATGCAAGTGATTCCACTGTTTAGGCATGTATTCCATCCGTTATTATTGAAGAAAACAAAAATATAAATAGATTTGTGTTTATCTTTTTTAACTTCATTGAAGTATATCACTATCGATTGTACACAAGTTCAAGTGCGTGGACCAAATACAAAATATATAAGTCAATAAGTAAATAAGTAAAAGATTAGATAAATAAATTAGTAAAACATAAGTCACAATATTGAAGGCAAGAAGTTGCTAATACTTTGGTCAAAGGGACCTTCTTGTCACCAGGTTTGATATATATATATATATATATGGGCAACAGTTTACATATACATCAGAAGGTTGTCAGCAATTAATAATGTGCTTACATGGTGTTGAATAAAAGTTTTACATAAATGGATTTTCTTCAATAAATAAACACAAGTAATAAAAGATTATCTTCCTTCTAAAGGGGCGGCCTTTTAGGAATCATTTGGGAGTGGCAAGCTGCGTTCATCTATCAAATAGGTGTAATTCCGATCAAAGTACCAATCAGCAAATGCCTTTGGTGCGGCCTGCACGTACAAAACAATCCATCAAGAAATCAAATGGTGGAAATAGTGTAGTCACCAATAATTTCAAAATAAATATATAAATTAAATAATCTCGTACCAGGTTATGAACCACGATGGGTTTTACAGGAGACCACCTAGTCTGCTTCTGAAGGCTGGTATGATGATGGACTACGTCTATGAAAACTCCTCTTAATTTAGGATTATTTCTTTTGGGTATTGCATTTAAGAAATCCGACCTCATTTCTGGAATAATAAATCCGGAAATATTAGATGGAGTATGAAATATTAATTTTTTTTAATCTACCTTTTGAATTATATTAAAATCATTCCACGAGGAACTAATAAAGTTTTTCTTGTTTAGGTCATGAAGTATACCAACCTTGTAAGGTTTTGTTCTGACTTGTTGTGCATGTCCCGTTTTGAATGCAGCCATATATTGCACCTCCTAAAGTATATTGTGTCTGCAAAACAGTTTACTTTGAGAAGCCACTACAGTAAATGGTAAAAGCTAATAATTAAGTAGGCTTTAATTTGTTAGCAAAAAAATTCCTCCTTTCTAGTTACCTACCATGATATTATCATATGCTGACATGGTAATAAAAACTGGTGTCTTGATTTCTTGTTGGATGTTCTCGGCGAAGAGGCACTGCAGTGAATTGTAAGATTTTATATATAGTTTATTGTCAAGAGACTCAAGAAAACTACCGAATGCATGAGAAGGAACAATTCGTACCAATTCTGGTTTCATTTTTGAAGTGCATGATTTGGGTAACGTTTTGGCAGATCCCTGTAAAATCCAATATGGAAAAAAATAACTAACAATCGACCTCTTCTTTAAGTACCGTACCCCTTCTATTTCATATAATGTAAATCTGTTTGACGGAGCAACTTATGTTATATATAAAATAAGAGAGAATAATAAGAAGGTGATAGGATTTACTTGTAGAGTGGCAATTCCTTTATATATTGATTCAAAAGGTCTTGCGAGCACAGGATTCTTGCTATTATAAAAAAGAGAGATATTCAAAGTTAGGTCATAAATCATTCTGTAATGAACGGTTATATACAGGTGAACTCGTTACAATCTTACAAATGAACAAAATAGCCAGAATCAACCAAACATTTCACTCTAGAGGTATTTGGCAATGAATTGCGGAAGCGATCACAGTACAACATTGCTGGATATCCTCCTGCTGAACTGCCAGCCAAGATGGCCTACAATAGTGAAGGTAAAAATTGAGACACAGAAAAAAACTCTGTTTAATATTAATTTTTTCTGCTTTTTGTACGGTTACTAGGCTTTTGGCATTGAAATATATTTAGCATAATTTACAGTCAATTATGTTAATCGCAATGGAATTTACATACATTCTTGGCGTTCTTTAATCCTTTCGCTAGCAGCTCCTCCAGTACTACGGTAAAAATCCTTGCCCCTCTGAAATGAAGTTTGGTAGCCTAAACAAAGCAAAATGTAAGGAGTGATAATTTCTTTTTGAGATTAATTACAAGAAAATAAGTAATTTAAATAGGAGCTCAAAATTATAACTTAAAATACAACATACTGGATCAACGTATTCAACATCTCCTGTGAACGATCCACCATCACAGTATCTAACAAAAACTTTATTCCAGTTGTAGAAATCTGCATATATTACATACAGCAATAATATGATACGTAATCCAGAACTGAAGAATAATGCACCACTGTAACATCAATTATGCCTCTTCTATTTATTGTTTCAACAAAAAAATAACAAAAAATAAAAATTCATTAAAACTTCAAGAGGACATATAAATCAAAGAGAACCTGGATTTGCACTCTGATTCTTGCTGAAAAATCCTTGATATTCTTGTGGATTCATATAATTTGAAGAACCTAAGTCGGACTTGGTACGATCCAGGCATTCTTTGACGTTTGTGCACCATCCTCCTCCCTAAGGACAAAGTAAAAGTTTTCAAAGAATTTAGAAATCTTCGAAACAACACTAAATCTAGAGAAAAAGGAACGCACACTCATAATGCTTCATCTCGCATAGTAAAAAGAGGAGAAAAATAGTAGAATCAATCTGGTGTTAAACACGACTTATACCGAAAGTTGTACAAGCCAATTTCCAACTCCGTCTCCAAATCCTGGGTCAAAATGGTATGCTGGAGGTGATCCATCCAAGCACACTGCCGAATAGATAATGTTAATACAACTCTTCAATTAAAATACTTGATTTTCAAATTCAAAGCTTAACTTGTACATATAAGTGACGAAATTAATTAACCTGCCCCTTTCGACACAGCACTATGAACGATTGTTTTAGTGATATTGTATACATCTGGGTTTTGGGTTACTTTTGCACATTCGGTTATGACGATGGTCAAAGTGAAAATAAATAAGACAAAAAGTTGAAAAGATCTTGTAACCATCATCATCCTGTAGAACATAAAATTAAGGAAATGATTAGTTAATTATGACAAAGAAGAATTCATATGGTTAAAGAGAAAAAAATAGAGTATTTGCAGATGTACTTTGTAAATATATGATGCAAAAGATGTATTGACCCTAACTAATGAATTTCGAAACTATGTATATATAGTAGGATCTCCAACGATTAAAGTTGGAGCACCGGGAAATTAGGCCATAGAATAGAAGACCACGACACTAGAACCCAACACTTGTCTGAATATTCCCATATTTTCTTAATTTTCTTGAGACATCAAGATTTGAGAGGTCAACAACTTAGTTTGTTGAGCAGTTATATGGAATTTCTGGGCGACGAACGTTTATACGTGGTGATTAAATTTCATGCAATTCCAAAATTACCTGAAAGGATTTGCCTCGTTGTTCTCTAAATTATATTAGTATCCACTATCCCGAAAGATATTGTTGAAAATTTTAAAATAATCTATACATAAGAGCTACTGTAGATTACATTGTGTAAGCCTGTAGTTTAACATAGCAAAATTGATATTGCGCATGAAAATGACATTTTAATACAAAAATTGTCATGACCCAAAACTGGCCAATCATACTAGTATTTAACCTAACTCGCTAAGTGAATCAGACCAACACAAATACAACTCAAAATTAATATCATGTTATAAGTAATAAGATGATAGTGCGAATTTTTAATACAAACTAACCCAAAAATTAGTGTCACAAGCGATGAGCTATTAATGTAACGATCCGACCGATCGTTTTGAGCATTTGCATTTTGCTGGGTTGTTTGAGTGCATGAGTAGCTCCGTATGATATATTATGACTCATGTGAATCGTCGGTTTTGGTTTTCAGGTTATTCGGAATTGATTTGGAAGAATGATTCTCAGCTAGAAGCTTCAAATTTGAAATGTTTGACCATGTTTTGAATTTTTAGCATTTGACCTCGGATTTGATTTCTCATGGTTCAGTTAGCTTCGTTTGATAATTTTGAACTTAGTAGTGCGTCCGGATTGTGATTTGGAGGTCCGTAGTGGAATTTGGCTTGAAATGGCGAAAGTTGGAATTTTGGAAAGTTTGATCGGTACTGGACCTTTTGATATTGGGGTCGGATTTTGATTTCGAAAGTTGGAGCAGGTCCATAATGTCGAATGTGACCTGTGTGCAAAATTTCAGGTCAATCATACGAGATTCGATAAGTTTCTGCAGCGGTTGTAGAAGTTTGAAGTTTGAAGTTCATTGATTTTGAAATTTGGTGTGATTTGCCGTTTCGATGTTGTTATGTGTGTTTTGAGGCCCCGAGTAAGTACGTGTTATGTTATAGGTCTTGTTGGTATGTTTGGACGTGGTCCCGAGGGGCTCGGGCGTGTTTCGGATTGATTTCAGATCATTTCTCCTTCATTTTTCACTGTTGTGTTCTGATGTGTTTTGGTGTTGCATTTCTTCATCGCGACCGCGGAAGGGTAAAGTGGAGCAGGCTAATTCTTTTTCTTCGTGTTCGCAAGTGATGGTCCGTGTTCGCATATGTAGTGGCAATTAAGCATCGCGTTCGCGGAGTGGAGAACGCGTTCGCGTAGTGTTTGGGTCTGAGTTGAGGCATGATGGTTATCTCTTCGCATTCGCGAGGTTAGTTCCGCGAACGCGTAGTTCATTCAGTTGTGTATAACGCGATCACGAGAGGACTTATGCGATCGAGTAGGGCATTATTCAGGAGCGTTGTGTTCCTTCTTCGCGATCGCGATGGTAATTACGTGATCGCGATGCATTAAGTTGCGCGGTGGTTATAAGAACTTTATTTCGAGGGTTTCAGCCACTTTTGCATTTTTGGAGCTATAGAGCTCGGATTGAGGCGGTTCTTGAAGCAATTTTCACCATATGAATTGGGGTAAGTGTTCTCTACTCGGTTTTGGCTATATTTCATGAATCTATCTTCGATTTTAGCTTTTGGTTGGTGAATTCTAAAGAGGAAAATTGGGGGTTTTGGCCTAAAGTTTTATAATATGAATTTTTGAGTTTTGAACACCGATTTGGAGTCGGATTTGAGTGAAACTAGTATGGTTGGAACCGTAACTGAATGGGTTGTTGGATTTTATGAGTTTTGTCGGGTTCCAAGGTGCGGGCCCGAGTGTGTTTTTTGGCCGGATTTGGGATTTGACTTAGGATTCGATCTTTATCATTTGTAATTGTTTCCTTGGGCTTTATCTGATGTATTTGAGTTGCTTTTGGCTAGTTTTGAGCCGTTCAGAGGTCGCTTCGCGCGTGATGGCTTTGCTGGAGCATCGCTTGGCTTGCTCGGCGTTAGAATTGGCTTGTTTGAGATAAGTAGCTCTTCTAAACTTAGTGCTGAGGTTATGAAACCCCAAATTATATGTTGTGTGATTGGTATTGAAGTGACGTACATGCTAGGTGACCGGCGTGTGGGCGTGCACCCTATGAATTGTGAGTCCGTTGTTTTCCCTGTCACTATTTAGTGGCCCAAGTTTGTTCATATCTGTGTTTTCACCATGTGATTAATTAATTGAGCTGCCAATCATGCTAGATATCATGTTTAGGCTTTATGCTGATATTGCTAGTACCCATAGTGGTCGTTACTTGCTGTCACCTCACTGATTTCATTGATATTTCATACTCACTCATATTCGTGCATTCATATCATATCTCAGTCTCAGTTGTTATTTATTGATACATAATATCATTGTTTTCGGGCTAGTTTAATGACATTGAGAACCCGAGAGACTGAAGAGATTGATGACTGAGTGAGGCCGACGGCCTGATTGTGAGGATATTTATGGGATCGGGCTGCACGCCGCAGCATATTTTATTGATTTATGCCATGATTGGCTTGTCATAGCGCTTCGGCTGAAGGAGCCCCTCCGGAGTCTGCACACCCCCAGTGAGCGCAAGTACTTACTGAGTGCGAGTGCCGAGTGCCGCGTGAATGGGAGGATTGAGTGACTGTGAAGACTGACTGCCTGTGAGGACTAAGTGATTCTGAGGACTGAGTGACTGTGAGGACTGAGTGACTGGGAGGACTCAGTGAATTGATACTCGGAGAGTATACATATGGTTTTATTACTGAGTCACATTGCATTTGACATGCACATGACATGCATGTATAAGGATGCATTTTCCTCACGCTGTACGGTATCACGTCATTCATGACTTGTTTTATACACATTGATATGTGGTAAGAGAGGTATTTCACACATGCTATCTAGAAAGAAAATGAAACATCATATTTACTGTTGAAAGGATTTTTGGGAAAACTCACAGTTTTCAAACTTACTCGTATTTTTGACGATTTCGGTAAAAGAGTTGGGTTTCACTGATATACTTGAAAGGCGGAAATATTTTCGGAAAAACTATGCAAAAGCTGAGCATTTTATCTCTGAGTTACGTCTTTATTTAATTATCTATGAGCTAATGTTGGCTATTGATATTGGACCTGACCTTTGTTCAAGCTCGTCACTACTTTCAAACTAATGTTAGGTTTGTTACTTATTGAGTACATGGGGTCGGTTGTACTCATACTACACTTCTTGCACATTGCGAGCATATTTCGGATGCCGATGTTGCTGTGTTCGATGGTTGCTGGATTGAAGATGTACCCGCGTTCCGGTTGTAGCTGCCTCTTGTTCATGGTAGTTGTAGATTTATAAAGCTCTGTTTATGTACTTTTCAAACAGAAGATGTATTTATTTCATATTAGCTTTGTAAATTCTATTCTTAGAAGCTCAGGATTTGTACTACCAGTCCTTGGGGATGTATAAGATTCTGATAACTCCTTTGTTTAATTGTTTTATTAAGTTAATTGAAAATGGATAACCGTTAATTGGCTTATCTAGCGGGTTGGGTTAGGTGCCATCACGACTAGTGGATTTTTGGGTCGTGACAGATTGGTATCAGAGCTCTAGGTTCATAGGTTCTACAAGTCATGAGCAAATGTCTAGTAGAGTCTTGCGGATCTGTATGATGACGTCCATACCTATCTTCGAGAGGCTACAATACATTTAGGATATACTTCCCATCTTTCTTTCCTTATCGTGCGACATTGATTTGTCTTGAAGCGTTACTCTTTGAATTCCTTCCACGTATTCATATGCGCATGTGAGCGCTCCGTATCAACTATGCATCGACGGCTTGTGATTCCATGGATGTGGTGCTAGATGTGATTTTAGTGCGCTGATGATGGGCCACTCTGGAGGACTTGAGGTCGGATTTTGACTGTAGCTTGAGCATAAATATGTTGATTGTGTGAGTATGTGCGTTGGACTTTATGTCCGGTAGTGTCCCTATTAGTGGATTTGTGGCTGGATGACTACGTGATAAGTATGATGTGACTGCGAGACATGTTCATATGATTTGAATGTGACGAGAAGGGATTTGCTTGAGGTGTAGAAAGAATTATTAGGTGCTTGATTCCACCTTGATTTGACGTATAGTCTCGAGTTATGGGTATGTTGAAGGATCCTTTTCATGACGTTTGGTTGTGGAGGGGAGTAGATTTCATGTCGTGATATGAGTTCAGACTCAGAGATTAAGTGGTTGCGTAATAGTTATGATTGTGGAAGGGTATAGAAAGATGTCAGTTTGAGGCTAAGTAGGTGGGTTATCTCCTGCAGGATGTCCTGAGGTTGTGTGATCCCTAGATTGTGTTGTTGAGAGTCCTTTTCTTTTCCAGTGAATTATGTGTGTTGCAATTTGAGTTTGGATCGTATCTGAGAGTTGGCTTGACTGTTATAAGGGCTAATGCGAGACTTGCAGATGACTTGAGATACTAGATGGGTTGTGTTACATGAGCTTATAAAGGATTTAGTTGAAATTCCGCGAATTTTGGCAGCAGCAGAGTATGGGTATTGTAAATTATCAGATGCTTTATTCCTTAGCTTTGTGCCAAGTGGGGGAGTCTGTTATCGATGGGTTGTATTACACTGTATGGGTATATGGGAAATCATGCAATGATTGAGTGGTTACTCGTGAAGGATGTAATGTTCATGGAGTAGAAATTTGCTCGGTTGCTTAGAGGTGTGAATTACTTCTTAGGGTGTTAGGGGTACAACTGGGGCACAATTCATTCGGTCCGTTTGGGTGGTTCTATTGAGGTTCGAATAGAGTGGATGACTCT